CAATCAGACCGGTGATTTTCACGCTGTCGAAGGTGCGGTATGCGGCGATGACGCCGTCCAGGGCGCCCGATTGGCATTCTTGGATGAATTCGGTGCGGTTGGTGGCTGTTGGGCGGATTAGGTCGGCGATGTCGGAGAGGGAGGACCAGGTTTTGTGGGCGCTGTTAGAGATTATTCTTGTTAGTTATGTCGTGGTGGGTTGGTGGTTTGGAGGGGTAGTGTTTTGGGTGCGGGGATGATGATGATGTGATTAATGGGTAGTGATGGAGGGTGTAAACGTACTGGATGATGTCTCCGAGGAGGAGGACTTTGGGTTTGGGGTTGCTGGAGCCCATTGTTTCTTATTTGTGTAACTGATTGATTATTATTGTTGTGAGAGGAGAGGGAAGAGGACAGCAAGTGAGAGAAGTATTGGAGAGAGGTAAATGTCGTGGGGGTTGCCGAAGATAGATCCTCGGGCGGTTATATACCGAGTGGGGGTGGGGATCCACGAAGATTATTATTTGGGGAACGGGAATTGGCTTACAGTGTTTGGAGTACTGAGAGAAGAGGACTGCGAGTAAATGCCAGATAGGAAAGAAAGAATTAGAGAAGAATGGAAGGATATCAGTCTATACAGAATAGAGATAGGGAAATAACCCCCACGGCCCCGCTCCCGTTATCGAGTTGACACTTCGGCTTCATCTCCGGTTGGTGCGATGTAGAGTATATAGAGACATCAATGGCTATAGTCAAGGACGACTGAGTGAGTCATACGAAGCGCCCTCATTATACAGACTAACTAAGTAAACTAACTCCACCAGAGTTTAGGGTGCGCCCTCCACCAACACGCGTGTCCAGTCAAACTTCCTCCATCGCTTCTGAAAGCCAGCCACCCGCCGATCTCCACCGCGATGCCAGCGTCCCTGCCGCTTAATCACATCCGGCGCCAGATCCAGCATTCCTCCGATGACTTCTCGGGCGAAAAGATCCCCCCGAGGCCAGCGGTTCTCATCCTCCACCACATGGCCCAGCCCGCCGTCTAGCTCAAACCATACATGGAAGTAGGGCATTTCCCGCGCAATCGACCGCCGGAAGGCACTCCGTCCCATACCTTGCTTGGACTTGGCTAGGGTGTCGATCAGCTTGCGGTGCTGAGACCACTCTGCGTCCGAGGAGAGGATGGCTTCCTTGAAGAAGGCCGGAGATGTCTCTCCGAGACTGTAGGGCAGAGGGACCACTTCCATGGCGGCGTGTCGCTTGCGATGCGGCTGAGCTGCGTTCTCGTAGAAGATCACGTCGCGGCCCTGGTCATGATACATGCGGGTTAGACTCTTCATGAAGTTTCGGATTTCCTCCCATTCATCGTCATCGCACTCGAGTAGGTTCGTGCGGTGCTGGATGGGAACAATGGTGGCACAGCCCTCGTTGAGCTCGGGTTCCGTGGGAAGAGTGAGGAAGACCCGCGTTGCTAATGCCACTACGGGTGCAACGGGCGGTGTATTCGTGTCCTCGTGGTGGCAGAGAGGACAGTTGTCGAGGATGCGGTTCATCTTTTGCAGCTCGTTGATGGTGATGTTCTTGATGTCGATCTCGGATCGGTGCACACGTTTGGCGAGCTTGGAGGCATTGTCGTCCATGTATTCCAGGTCATTCTGGCTACGTTAGCATTGTATTCGTGAGTTTGATTGGTAATGTACTTACCTCAAATTTGGAGTCTTTTGCAATTCGCTCCGCCATCCGTCGACCGTCGCCTCCGAATTGCCCCCGGGTGCGACGCTCTTCCTGGACCATGTCCTCAATTGTCATTTCGTCGTTCTCCTCTACCTTGCCACGTTCACGGCCGCGCCGGTTATCAACCGCCTTCACTTCGTTCCGAGTGCCAGCCAGCATCCGGTTCTCCATGACGCCCAGAACCACCACATCGGATTCTTTCCGGTTTGACATGGCAGCTGCGGCTGCGTTATAGCGCTCCTCGAGCTCGGCTGCATCTGGCGCGCGCTTGAGCTTGGCTTTCATCATTTGAGCCTTCAATCGGTTGAGAGCCGTCAGATCCAGATGTTGTGTCGTGTTTGGTGGTGGCACGGTTTCCATTGTCTTGCCTTGACCCTGGGCATCAAGTTCCTTGCCTGGGCTGCGAAGATTTTCATGGGAATCGCGGTGGACATTCTCCTCCAGCTTTCTCTCCTGGAAGAGTTCACCAGTAGGCTTCTCCTTGCCCACGTAACCTTCACCGTACCGTTCGCGGCGGTCCAGTTCTGCTTCTTCCTCCCGTGCATCATCAAACGATCGTAGGCCTCCAAACCGGTTCAAGGCGACCTCCTCGACCGATTTACCAGTCTCTTCTGCCTCCCGATAAACAGCCTTGAGCCTAGTCATTCTCCACTGAGCACCCTCATCACCAAACGTATAGTCCACCTCATGCTGCGCTGGTTGTTCTTCAATCTCCTCCAGCACTTTGCCCTCCTTCAAATCGTGTAAATGGGTGTTGAGCTCCTTGCCGTGGATTTTCAGCTCAAAGTCCGCCTGCAGCATCTTCGGCTTTGGTTCCTCTTCCAAACGCGTCGTATTGCGTCTCTGAACGTAGTCAACATCAAGCCCATCCGGCTGCATCCAGGCATCTCTCTTCATGCGCGTAGGCTCTTCCTGTACAACTTCCTCCACCGGGGCAGGCGCGTCCGTCTCATCTCTGCTGTCGCGGTGTCGGCGCTTGTGTTCATGCTCACGATCATCTCCATGGTCGGTCGAGTGGCGCGATCGCTTATGACGATGTCCGTCATCCTCGCTACGCCGTGAATCTCGGCGTCTCTCATGGTCACGCTCTCTCGACCTAGACGAGCGGTGACGGCGGTGGTGGTGTCTGCGCTCTCGACTGCGATCACGGTCACGGTCGCGGTCGCGGTGATGGCGATGCCGACTCCTGTCGCTCTTCTCGCGTCTGTGTTCCTGCTCCTCCGCTAGCGATTTTTCGAAATCCTCGAGTGTCATCGTGATGGTTGAGCTGCTGAGGAAAGAGAAATGAGGAAGAAGCGAAGAAAAGGCTGCGGACGGAATGACGTCTGGGCGGTCCAGACTCCACCGGAGCCGATCTCTCCATCCCCGCGACGCAACATTTTCCTTTTTCTTCGGCTCCCCGCTTCACTTGTTCGCCCTCAACACCATCCTATCCGGACTTGTCTGAAGCTTTTAGCTTGTCGAGCTTCACATTAACCACTGTTGAGCTTGATAACTTTGCCCTTACAAATCTTTCATCATGGCGCAATCACCGGTGGCCGTCGTCTGCGTCGGCATGGCAGGTATGTCGATGCTGCTCTCCCATCTCAATTTCATCTTCTGACGAGCCCTCTTACCTAGGCTCCGGAAAGACGACTTTCATGCAGAGAATCAACTCGCATCTCCACTCGAAGAAGAAGGTTCCCTACGTGCTGAACCTGGACCCCGCCGTCTACTCCGTTCCCTTCGAGAGCAACATTGACATCCGCGACTCCATCAACTACAGAGAAGTCATGAAGCAGTACAACCTCGGCCCCAACGGCGGCATTCTCACCTCCCTCAACTTGTTCGCTACGAAGGTCGACCAGATCATCGCCCTGTTGGAGAAGCGCACCGCTCCGAACCCGAGCAACCCCTCCGCCAAGCCCATTGAGCACATCCTCGTCGACACTCCTGGACAGATCGAGGTGTTCGTATGGAGCGCATCTGGAAGCATTCTCCTCGAGACCCTGGCATCTTCCTTCCCTACCGTCATCGCCTATGTCATTGATACCCCTCGCACCAGCTCCACCAGCACATTCATGAGCAACATGCTCTACGCCTGCAGTATCTTGTACAAGACCAAGCTGCCGATGATCCTTGTCTTCAACAAGACCGACGTGCAGGATGCCGAGTTTGCCAAGGAATGGATGTCCGACTTCGATGCGTTCCAGCAGGCGCTGCGGGAAGAAGAAGAGTCGGGTGCGTTTGGTGCAGAGGGTGGAGCTGGTGGCTTCGGCGCTGGAAGTGGATACATGGGATCGCTACTGAACAGCATGAGCTTGATGCTGGAGGAGTTTTACCGTCACTTGAACGTCGTTGGTGTGAGTTCCATGACGGGTGATGGTATTGATGAGTTTTTCGCTGCCGTGGAAGAGAAGCGCCAGGAGTTCGAGCGTGACTACAAGCCCGAGCTGGAGCGCAAGAAGAAGGAGCGCGAGGAGACCAAGGCCGCCCAACGGGAGTTGGAGCTGGGCAAGCTGATGAAGGATATGAGCGTCTCCAGCTCTAGTCGTCAGCGCAAGGACGAAGCCGAGACCGTCAGTGAAGCGGAAGAAGAGGCAGAAGATGCGGCTGGCCAGGGAGGGTTTGACGACGATGACGATTCCGATGATGATGGATATGGTGGAGCTCCCCCAGCGGGTAACGATGAAGGACTCTCACAGCGGTACAAGAATGCGCTGGCAGATCAGAGCGCTCCTTCGGATGCGGATCACAGTTTCGCCAGATACCTGCGCAAGAGCAACATTAACTAAGGAGGAAATGACCTCGCAGGACATGCATTTTGACTTTACATATATCGGTGTACGAAGGCGTTGATTGGCTTATCATCATGAATAAATGATTAGAATTTAATTCAAAAGCAGACTGGTCGACTGATCAGTTCTCAGTGGACGTTCGTATATGGCAAAGCCATGGTTAGATGTGACTGATCATACTAGTACATTGAATGCATTTCAAGTCCATCTAGCTAATATGAAGTCCCATTCCCAGGCCAATAGGCTCAAAGACAGTCTAATGACGTGGAACTGCATATCATCGCAGATTAAGTAGCCTTAAGATCTTGGCTCTACCGTTGCGGAACGGGAACACCAACATCGTTCACGAGACCAGTCAGTCAGAACACAGTCACACAGCCAACCCTTTCAATTCATCCCACATCGCGATAATCCCTGCATTCAATCAAACCCGGATTGAATAACAAAGCAACGGTGCCTGGATTGCTGCGCTGGATGAGTCAGCCGTAGATCTGCCAACTGGGAATGAATGACATCATGGGCGCTTGAGCTAGCAATGACCTCACGAGCTCTACCTTATAAGACAGGTATCGCTCGGTAGTCCTCAGCTCTCTCTTCAATTGTTGGTTCCTTTACTCAATTTCAATTTTAACGTTAATACTACAATCCATCACGAACCACAATCAGAACCATATCAGATCTACAACCATGGACGTAAGCTTAACTATCTCCCTACCACCCCCCAACCACTTCACAGGCTAACGCCATGAACAAAAGGTATTCTACGCCTACACCTACTCAACAGCGGGCTGGCTCTCCCTGCAGAGCGTCGCTCTAATCGCCGTGCCTGAAATGATGACCACAATGCTGGAACAAGAAAGCAGACAGCCATCCTGTACCTCCCCTCCCCTTCACGTATCACCACTCCCAACCACCCATACTAATCCAATTCAGCAATTGAAACCTACCTCTCTCGCTGCCTGGGCATGAGCCTCCTCACAATCGCCATTCTTACCGTCATGCTGACCGGCTCCATCCCCCTCACGGCGTCCATCACCGACCCCGTCACAACCGATGACTCTGATCCCAAGGCGCCCTACGCGGTGCCGACGATGCAAGTGACCACCATCTTCCACTTTATTTCGGCCGGGTATGCGTACGCCTGGTTCGCGGATAAGGGCCAATTGGCGTTTGGGGTCGGGATGGTGGTTTCCGGGGCGCTGGCTTCGTTGGGTATCTGGTGTGCGCTTTTTGCCAGCAGTAATGGAAAGATTAGTCGGAAGACCGGGGCGGATAAGAGGACCACGGGGTTTCCCTTCAAAAATAGGGAGGCGGAGAAGAAGCATGGGAAGGGGTTGTAAGGGCTTTGATGTGGGTTGGTAAGTTATGGATGGTGTTATTTAGGTGGTGTTGATGGTGATTTTGATGGTTGAAGATGCGGTTAGAGATGGGGAGATGTTACTGTATGCATTAAATGCATAGTGCTGACATTGCACAAAATGAACTAAGATGATTTTGATATGATTGATTTATCAGCTTTGCAGGTCAAGAGTCTTTTATCAGTAGTCATCTGGTTAGGTAGGTAGGTAGGTAGGTAGGTAGGTAGCCTTGGCTTAACGCTGAGCCAAGCACTTAACACAATAAAAGTAGGGACGCGTACATACCCCAAATCCTTCTCACCAACCAAATCCCGAACATCAGATACGTCTAACAAAGTCCGCATCCTATCAACGGGGCATTCCAGCTCTGATATACCCTCCAAAGTTATAATACTGTTCACGCTAAACCCAATCCGCATGAGAATTAGAGGCATATGATTGGCCCACTCGCTAATGACATCATAGGGGCCATACGCTATGCCCGTTTGGAAATGGTGCGATATCTATACCTCAGAATAGATCTTTCGATAGGGCTTGTGTTCACGGTGAGAATTAGAGAAATTGGGTGATGGGAGGGTATAAAGAGGTGAGAAGGAGAGGTAGGATGGATGGAGAGAAGCAGAGTTCTATTCTTTCGTCCTTCAACTATTGTCCTTCTTTCTATACATCCGTCCGGATTCAGTGTGCAGTCGCTCGTTAGTTACGTTCATACTTTTCTATCTATATCGCTACTGCTACTTCTATACCTCTGAGAGGGTTATATTTCAACTGGAATACTTTAAAGTTTATTAAGCTACGGCTACTATATACATATCACAGAACAGTGAGTCTCCCAACCACTCACCCTAAAAACCATCTCTAACCCTCACCTCTCACAGTCCCCACTACTACCTGCCTCGTGCACCACCACCACCTCTCCCTCCTACACAAAAAAATCATTCAAAATGGTCTACATCGCCAAAGAAGCCATCATCTTCTTCGTCATCCTCGGATGCGTGGTAGTCTCTGTCTTCGGCTACTCTATCCATTACCTTGCGACTAATGGGTTCTACGGTGAGGAGAGGAACCTCGACTTCCCTCCAGAGCAGAGGATATACATGCGTCAGTTACGACTAAGGGATTTGCATTGGATGGCGAGAGATAATGGGATAAAAATTGCGAGTAATACGTCGCCGGTGTAGGGTTTATGGTCCGGTCTTTCCTTTCTCGGGTTATGGTTATGTGTGATGGGACATTGATGGAGTTTTATGGTTGGGGTTAGGGTTATACTTGTTGCTTGTTTGGTTTGTATTGGGTTTTGGAATAGAAATGCATGTTTGTTATTATTGTTATTAGGATATAGCTGGATGTTTGCATGAAGGGTATTTTGTTTCTAGGATAATGTTCATCTGTGTCTTTGAGATTTATCAATGCGATTTCTCACACGAGATACTATTATTCATCATCTCATTCCGACTCCATTTAGTACAGTGCTGGTTCTGGATGATGTATTCGAGCATATCATTTGATGATCAAGAGGTATTCAACACCAGTAGACGTAAACAGGGTCGACTCATCTCACCAGAAATATCTAGTAGCAGGCTTCGCAACTATAGTCATTGCTTTCCGCTTGCTAGACAACGCACAAGCTAGCCATAACAACTGCTAAGCAAGCCATACTGATAAAAATTCACCTTGTCATGAACGAATATATGCAACTAGCCGAACATGATGCTCGACCGCCACAGCCCCGTTACATCTAGACCCCCTCCATCCTTGTGATGGCAGTAGTCACCAATAAATACTAAACTAAACCGCCCTCACACATAAGCAACCCCCAACACTCATAGAACCAAATGCCACCCACCCCCCATCCACCACCCAACTAACAGACAACCCCCCAGCACCACCCCCCGACACCCGCCCAATAGTAATATACCCCTCGGGCGTCGGCGAAGACGCACTAATCAAGAAGCTATTCGACTTACATCCGGACACATTCGCATTCACTGTATCCCACTCGACCCGCGCACCACGGGTCGGCGAAATCCACGGCAAGAATTACTTCTCTATAGACAAGGCAATGTTCGGGGACCTCATTTCCCAGGACGCCTTCGTAAAATATGCCACCTTCGGTGGGAACCAGTATGGCACGAGCAAGAGAACGATCTCGGATCAAATGGAGAAAGGACCCGTGGTCGTGCTAGATATCAAAATGAACGGTGTGAAACAGTAGAAGGCAAATTCCAGTATCAATGCTCGGTATGTTTTTATTTAAGCCACCGAACTTTGAGGCGCTCGAGGCACAGCTTTGGGGGCGTATAGGGAGCTGGAAGGGTTTATGTTTGCGGGTAAGGGTATGTAGTAGTTGGATATGATGTGTGAGATGTTGCTTTGTTGAAAGGTTCTATGGGATAGAAAAAGGTAGACAGACATCAATACTGCAAGGTGTTGCTAGCCACGCAAGCCTGCCTTCTAAGTCCTTAGCTATTCCTACGAAGTCGAATACAATTGAAGAGACCTTGGCCGGATTCCATCATTACTAACCCTCTCAGCACTTTGTAAGAACCAGATGCAGTAACTCATATCTCATGCTCATAACTCATGCATACACCCTCAACCCCAAACCACAGAAACAAAAGTAAAATATAATCAAAGCCACCAACTCCCCAAACACCACCGCTATACCCACACAATGCAAGAATCACCCTCAAAACAACTTCTCCTCGACATCTCTCTCATCAAACGGATCTCCGAATTCATCTATACCATCCAATGATTAGCACATCCCAACCCAACCCATGCCGACTCAGCCATGGAAGACCATATATCAACAACATACCCAGATTGAAATCATGATCAACCACGTACTCCATCGCGCGCTGATACTCCTCCTCTGCCCTTTTATTCATCCACGCCGCGCCCGGCGCATCCATCTGCTGTGCCTGCTGTTGCTGTTGCTGTACCTGCTGAGTTGTCTGCGTCGCGAGCGGAGAGTCAATTAGGCTCTGGTTGAAGGCCATCTGTCCCTGGGTGTTCAGAGTAGCGGTTTGTGTTTGAGAGCCGGGCGGGGAGAGTTCTGAGCCGCCGAAGGGAGGAGGACGCGGGTTGGTGAGCTTGTTGGTTGGGGTGCGGGTACCCGGGTGAGAGTCTTCGGAGAGGCCGTGGGATGATTCCGGGGAGGATGCCATTTGGGAGTCGCCGTCTGGGTCTGTGATGGTTGGTTATGGTTAATGAGGTGTGTGGGTGGTGGGGAGACAGGTGGAGGTTGGTTGTATGTGATGGCAGCGGGGAACTATGTGGAGGGGCTGGTATGAGCACAAACCAGTAGCCATGATATATGGTTTTATCAAGTAGGTAATGTAAGCCAATCAATCAAGCAATGTCTGCAACAGAAAACAACAAAGCGAGACAATTCGTTGATGTGCAGTTGAGATGGAAATGTAGGATCGGGGATAAGTTGAGGTCGGCGATCTTAACTAAGCACAAGGCGGCAACCGCCATTTTCCTCCGCTTTTCTGAACTCCTCTTCCAACTAGACGATTTTCTTCCCCTCGTCTTACTTACCCCTCGGTCATTCTCTCCTTTCAAATAAGCCACCCGGCTAATACATTGGACTTGTTCTTTTTGGTTTACTTGCTAGACCCCACTGACTCTGGGTCTCGTCGTTCACTCGTTCAGAACCTGTTTTACGCGCTATAGCGATATATCCCTTGGCCATGAGCGCAAAGCCCTCAAGTGGCCCCGACGCCTGGGAGGAGGACTGGGAGAGTCAGGCTGATGTATGTGCACCACTACCCCTGCATGTCGCCGTGCGACTACCTCAATTCTCTGGCTAATCGCTCCCCTAGTCTTTCGCTGCAGAATCCGCCCCGCCTCCGCAGGAGAAGAAAGTCTCCTCGAAAGTCACCAAGGCCCAGCGCCGAGCCCAACAGGCCGAATTTAACCGCCAGCTATGGGCCGAGGCGTACGTATACCACTTTCATGACTATGCGGACGTTGCCTGACCGTTTCCCGCTACAGAGAATCACCTCAGACGTTTCACTATTTAGAGGCGCGGTCGAATGTCCCGCTCAAGCAGGAATTCAAACCCACCGTCACTGTTCTCAGTCGCAACCCACAAATAGCTACGCGTCAATCATCTTCTGTAGACGCTGCCAGCGCCGGTATGAGAAGACTGGGGTTGAACGAGGATGACGACTCTGATGAGGATAGACCGCCTCAGCCTACACCTGAGGAGCGGCAGGCTATCGCGCTGCGCAATCTGGAAGAGAAGCAGCGCAAATATGAGGAAGTCCGGGAGAGGCTGTTCGGTAGCCCGTCTGCCCCTACTTCCGGCGCGTCGTCGCCACGCAGTGCTACCCCGCCTAAACAACACGAGGGCCGAGGCAAAGGGAGAAGCCGTGGGAATGGGCGAGACAACAACCGTGACAAGCGGGACTCGTCTGCTGCATCCGGAAAGTCTAAGCAGCTTTACGATCCGGGGTCTCCTAAACCGAACTCGAGCTTTGGGCCGCGGAGGGAGAAGCAGGGCAATGTCCGAAAGGAGGATGATTCGCAATCTCCAAGGCAGCCGATCCGCAGTCCTCGTGGCCCTGATAGCAGCGGAAGGGGTGGGTTTAGAATGGGCCACAGGGGTGCCCGTGGAGGCTAGACTACGAAAACGAAACAGCTATCCCTTCACCAAGGATTGGCGCATCGCGCCTGTCTGTGTTGGTGGGACGCGACTCCGGGTCGCTGCTCAGAATAGTATTAAGATGCTAGATGGTATAGCAGTGACCTGCAACAAGCTAGGGAAGGCCCCTTCCGGAGTTGATCGCATTGGCAACCTGGGACGTGTTTGGACGGTTTTCTAAAGACGTCAGCTTGTGATCGCGTTGTATCAGCAATCCACTTACGAGCGTATCGCTCATAACTATCCAGATAGAGCTCATCGGTGCTCGTGGTTGCCTGAACGTGCTCATTGTTCTCAATAGCGTCGACCCAGGCTCCCCAGCGACTGCCAGGCTCCGGGTCTGGCCACCCGCGATAAGGCTTCAAGGCACGGCGCAAGCGGATAATCCAAGGGGCGACCTGGACATCGACGAACGAGATCTGAGCGCCCAGAAAGAACGGGCCCTGCGCATCTGCGGCGCCGACCAATGTGTTGAATGCATCTCGGAGCTCCTGTGCATTGGCTATTTGCTTCTGGGTGTCTTGCTCTTGAAGAACACGGTAGAAGTTTGGGACGATGTGGCGGTTGATCTGTGATTGTCAGAAGTGAAAGGGATGATAAGCACGGGTGCATACAAAATCTGTCCATAGTCGGCAATGCGCCCTCAGCTTGGCGTCTCCGGGTGGGAGCAACGGTGTCCCAACATTCAGGTCCTCCAACTAAAGCATGTTAGGATTGGATCAAGTTGGTTCAGTGGCAGGGTTAGAGTCATACGTATTCCAGCAATACGGAGCTCTCGTATGAGCCCCAATCCCCGTGCCGCAAGGCTGGAACAAGTCCCCTGGGGTTCACGTCCAGCAATGACTGGGGCTTCTTATAAGGGTCAACTTCAATATACTGGTAGGGGATTCCCTTGATCTCAAGGGCAACCCATACGCGCTGCACGAAAGGGCTAGCAGTGGTCAGCGCTGGCGATGTATATATGCATATAAACTAGAGTGAACGTACCAAAAGCAACTTCCATACAATTTCAGTTCATTGTCTTGTGAACGGTGCGCGACCGTCTGGGCAGCCAGGCCGGTGGCTTTGGTATGGTACTGTTTCTGAATTTGATTTTGGGTAGCCATTACTCTAGTCTGTACGCGGTGGTAATTAGAAGGGAGATTAATCAATCGAGTCCTAATCGCAGAGGGAGCACGCTTGGATAGATTGCCAAACAGCAATGGTTTCAACACAAGAATGGATCTTCGAAGCATAATGGATGGTAAGAGAAGTTGCAGTTCACGAGCGGGGAAGATAGTCGGCGATAGGCACTTCTCCGCCGAATGACGTAACACGCTTGTGCCAGGATCAATCAACAAGAATATAGAAACGAACTTACATTTAGTGACCTCTTCTCCTTCTTCACCTCCTGCAATAAGAACCGCTGCACACTATTCTTCTTCACGCGGTCACTATCCTCCAGCGTATGACGATGACCCCCACTCACACCGTCGTTCTTCCCGTTCGCACCGTTCCCATTTACTCGCTGGATAGTAAAATACCTCTGGCCGTTGACCCCTGGATGGCCCTCTGGTAGAGGTGGGTTCAGGCTCGGCGTTAACAACCCAAACTGCTGGCCTTGAGCCTGTTGTTCCTCTCTGACAGCAGACTCCTGGAGTACTGGGCCGGGGACCCCAAGTCCATCAAGGACACCTAGATCTGACCCCATAACATCGTGGCCCGGGAAGTACTCTGTGATCTTGATCTTTACATCACAGAGATCCCGCTGGCGGGCAGTACGCTTACGTTTCTTTTTGTTGGGATCATTGGATTTCGGTGTCCCTGGAGGTCGACCTTTCAGGCGACAGTCCCAGTAGTGGGAAATCAGCGGTTTGCGTTTGTAGTGTTGAGTTGACCGGTGGGAGTAGACGTTGTCGATGTGTGGGAAGTATGTAAGGAATCTGGGACATGTCAATAAGGGCATTATATCTGCAGGAAAGGGTGGAGAAACGCACTGCTCCTCACTTAGGGTTATCATCTCATCGACATTAAAAAGCCGTTCTCGCCATGCATCAAGGTTCGGAGGATCAAGAATGGTGCGGATGTCGACATGTTGGTCGGGTCGTTTTACGAGAGATTGAAGATGTGGTTGTTGATGATGGTATTGATGATGAGACTGATGAGCTTGTCGGGTGTATTCGAGCTCTTCAACGGCACATTGTAGACCGTGGAGCGAGTCATCGTCAATGCTAACTTGGCCTTGTCGATGGGTTGGAACTAGGTGCGGGTCCTGGTGGGCAGCTAGGGTCGACGCGTCTTCGGCAACTGATGTCAGAGAAGGATGGAGGAGAGTTGAGACGGAAGGGTTGAGTGATGTATCAGCCTCGGAAGGGATCGAATCATGGTTCATAGTGGTGGAGATGCTGCTCCGATATTGTATGCTGATGGATAGTGACGCTGCTTTTAATGTGCGGATGGACGAAAAGGCGGGGGTTGAGGCGGCGATTTGTTGACGGATGGTTGCCGGATCTGGCATAGCGGGTCACGATCGTCGATTGTTTTGGTCTGGACCTTCTTTGGAGTCTCCCCAAAGCATTTGCGTACTTCAATCTAACGAAATTCCCGAATGATGCGCAGCTCTTTGGAGGCAAGTGGTATTTTCAGGTCCTGAGTATTGGTCGCTTGTGCTCGCTTGAGAAAGGTGAAGATCCGTAATTATTGTCGAGTGAGTCCTCAAACTTGCTTTGCCCTGACAGTCTAGTGTGAAGCTTAGCTGATCATCTTGGTCATGCTATTGTGTCACTTTCAAACTTGCAGGATAATTTAAATACAAAATAACTCGTTACAGAGTGCCACATAACTATGGTATATATCTAGTTAGTTGCTTTCGAAGGCATTGAGTCAGTTGGGTATGTCTTGGCTGACACTCGATCACTATATATTTTCATGGGCTGTGAAATCACAGCCTGTCAAAACTAGCCGGTTTATCACTATTAGGACTGTTGCAGAGCCGTCATCATGCCAGTTCTACCATGAATCATCATCAGTTCAAGTCTACGAAATTAGCTACTGTCACAGTCGCATAACCTCCTGACCGACCCTGGCTTACTGAAACCTGCTGGGACAATCTTGTATCCCTTCTGGCTCATCAAGGAATCTGGGAGGGGGCGCAATGAGTGTTTTCATCCTACGACTCTCAGTGGACCCCAGAAAGATCCACTTGACACCATTGAGGTCCTCTGAAGGCACCTTTCACGGTTTCACCAATTCATGCCTGTGGGTCTCTGTTACAATTCTGCACACTCAATTACTAGCGTCGTGACCGTCCCACTCCCTGCCGCTGGCCCAAGACTCGGCTGTACTCCGTAGAGTCTGCAGAAACTCCCGCGGCCAATAATATCGGGTGATGATGAGAGGCTTTTCATCTGAGTTTGTGGAAGGGGTCCCTACAAAGTACAAACTGATCGCTTCCGCTAAGTTTTCGATATAGTCCTTTATACATTGGACTTTCTATGCACTCCAGGAAGGATCTGACCGTGTCAGCGAAATTTACATTGCCATGTTTCTAGTTGCAACCTGTCTAGCTATTCCCACAAACGTCGAGTCGCAGTCTCCGCAGAATGTATGTCATCCAATCCAGGTGCCTATCACAGGACTGGCATATCCCGACTTCTGATGGGCCAAGATCATTGATTGGCGCCCTTAATGTTGTCCAAAATGACTACAGAGTATTACCATACTCTGCCAATTGAAATTTTCAGTACCTGTCGCGCCGATCCATCAGAGCGGATGTGCCAAGAAACAAATGGTCTTTGATTTGGAATTCTCTTTGTCAGACATGTTGGTCACCTTCACTGTTCAGTATAACAAGGAGCGTGTTGTTCCGCTTTTGACGGTCGAGACAACGGGCAGCTGCGATGCCGGTGATTATTCGTTCTCGGCGATACACCCCAGTCATTACTTTGGCCCCGCCATTATAATCAACCCGCAGATCAAAGATGCCTGATTCGGGCATAAGGCCCGTACGGAGATGTGTGCCAGAATTGTGTTAGTCTCGTTAAGTGCTCCTTTCTGACACTCCCGCTTCTTGTTGATCCTTTTCTGTTTGACTCCACACTTGAGGAGGCATTTGTCGTTGCAGATTTTCATCACTCTCGACGCTTTAGACCATACTTTGCTTTTATATGAGGGAAGCACAATATTCAGATCGAATTAGCAAGGAGAAGGACTAAACAGAGAAAATATGAAAAGATTTCACTGCGGCATGAAGACAACGAACTGCTAGATATTATAAAACCACCGCGGGTTACATGCAGGCGAAGAGTTTACAATGGGAAACATTCTCGTAACGGCCTACATGAACCCGGAATACGAACTATATTTCAATAAATCGAACACAGGCCCCAGTTACTTTCTCCAAAAACTGAGAGAAGTTGTAATGGCAAACGTCAATGTTGGTGCGATGGTAGAAGGGACTGACAAAACCAGCCCGTGTTGCCACCACCCTTACCCGGAACGCGCCAAGGCCCTCACAAAAGTGGTAGTGTGCCCACAAAGCCAAATTGTCACCATGAAGAATAACCCGGATACTATTGTTATACCATGCCAGCGATATGAGGCAGCAGTATAGTGAGCATCATGAGTTCCTCTGTCTCTCTTAAGCTGTGCTCGAAGCGGTGGCCATGAAGTTGGTGGACGACAGAAACGCAGAACATTTTGTCAACGCAATCGATAATCTGGCATTCTGGTGTTGACTTGAAAAACTAAATAACATGAACTGTGATTTCCCATTTTCCTCTCACACCTTGATTATTCCCATCTCTGTTCTTCTTTTACACTCCTCCTTTTCCCTCTGTCAATGAAATCTCACATACCTCGACTAACTCGAAAACACTGCGATATAGATAGTGGGGCAATCTGGTGAGCCGTGAACATATGCCGAGTAACCGGTTTATCTTTTAGCATCATGAAGCAGCTGGTGCCAGTGAACACTTAAAGGAGTCCTCAGCAAGCCACATAACGAGTCACGCAGAAAACCCTCAGCAACTGGTGCTCTTTCGGTATTAAGTAGCATCGAGTGCAACTAATTGTCCAAGCATGCTGGGACAGCGATGAGCTACTTATACACGGCTCACCCCCAACTGAAACAGGCGCCAACAATGTGATTGCACATCTAGGCTAGCCAGTCCTTTGGACCTTGAGACGCAACCTCAACGCAAAAAAACACCAGCACTTTCCAGCAATTTGCATAATGTTTTTCCTTTATTTTTTCCCCTTCTTTTTTCTTTCTTTTTCTTTTCTCTTTTCATTTCTTCTTTCCTTTTCTCTCCTTTTCTGTCACTTTCATAACAGCACCTAAGCAAACATCCCCTGGGGGTTTTTTTTCTTCTTATATTGATATATGATATCAGAGGCCACCAGCACACATCACAGCCCGAACGAGCTGTCGAGTGCCTCCACTCCAAGCAACATGCACCCGATTGAGTCCCAAGAGAAATATTCATTTTCACCACCCCAAACCGGCATGGGCATCCCAGGAACATTGTTGCCGTTCATGACCATACCCATTTCTGGGTTCATCTGCAAGGCGTTGTGCTCTGTGTTGGGGTAGAACTCCTCATTCCTGGCAAAGGAGCCATACATATCTCTTTGAGAACCAAGCTCAACGAGAGTATTAGCGATACCTGAATGGGTAATGCTATGGCTCTGCTGGTTGAAAGGTGCTTGCTGGCTGAAATGTACCTGCTGGTTGCAAGTTACCTGCTGGTTGAAATGTACCTGCTGGTTACAAGGTACCTGTTGATTGAAAGGTGCCTGTTGATTGAAAGGTCCTTGTTGCGTCGGGCTTACTCTTTCATGAACCAACATGTCGATGTCATAGATAGCTCCAATCCAGCGACGCATGGTATCGGGCACCATCGGGTTACCCGAGTGACGGTTGAGAATGAGCGCACAGTTGTGGAGAAGGGAGAGCGATTCATGATTGCTATACCCCCCACTCTGCTGTCGCGTACAATCAGACAAGATACTCAGCGTCATAACTAATGCCGAGGAATACACGTAATAGATGTCCCACCAGGTCACAGCATTGAACTTTCCGATCATATCAAGATGCAACAACAATTCGCAACTTTTCCGACCGGAGTCGCAACACACCCTAGCGATTGTCTCGAGTTCTTTTTCATTCATGTCACTGGTCTGCCCTTGAATCGTGGAAGCAAGGTGTCGCAACAATGAGTGGCGAGTGAGCAAAGAGACCGTATAGTGATATTGGATATGCAGCAAGAGAACCGGTCTCTTGTGTCCATCGGGCAACATGTCGAATTCCTGGAGGGTCAGATGCTGTGGTAGCGATGTATGCCACAGAGTCAATTCCCCAAGCAATTCAGCGACGGAGGAAAAGCCGCTCTCGCTAGTGAGATTTGGCAGTGCGCGGCATACGAGGCCTAGGATGGACACAAGCTTTGTCGACCAGGGCGCATAATCTGCAGGCCAATTGGAGGTATTGATGTTGAGTACTCTCTCATTCGGCGAAGTGGAGCCTAATGTACTTTCTATGGCACTGGGCCGATCATGAGAGGAGACCTGAATCTGCTCGAAGCTATAGAGAGTCCACCAAAGTGACCTCCTAAGCTCTCTATTCAGTTGCGGGCCTTCACACACTACTTCATCGCGATGAAGTCCAATGGCAACTGCGATCCGGGCTGCTACTCCAGTCAGAGTCCAGCATGCGTCACGATGATTTGTGTTGTGAAGATGCAAGGCAGCCAGCATCAGTGCCTGAATTGAATGGATATTGTTCGTGAAGATCATGCTCGGCAAGAGTGACTCGACATAAGTCCACCATTTTTGCTGCTGAGTCTCAGTCGTCCCCAGCGGCATAATGCGTCGGCTCAGGAGCAATACGCATAACAGACCACAGACCCACGGTCGGTCGACAGAACTTGGTGAAACTCGCCATCTATTGAAGGTCTCCAAGAACGAGGCCTCATGGAGAACAGGGAAGTCGACGTTGACATAGTCGAAATAAGCTCGGATCAGTCCCTCGATGACGAAATGATCAAGCAAAGGAGCCGAGTACGGTAGACAAGCGGCATCCACACCAAGTTGCGAAGGTATCGCAATCGCTCGGACATCGAAATCTGTGAGGACATCACTAGCGAATGGTTTCAGAGTCTCCTCGGTAGGATTGGGACCGAAGAGATACATCTGACACCTTGGGTGCTGGCGTTGACGCCCCAGGAGGCTCCTGAGCTTCATTTGGAAGAAATAGGAGCTTGCAGGGCCGATATACTGATCTTGGCCTTGCTGGTCTTGAACAAGCTCCTCGTTCTGCTCAGTGGATGTCGCCCTGGCGTTCTCCTGCGGCTCTTGCGAGTCCTGCAGCTCTTGGGACTCTTCAGGATCTTCAGGCTCTTCGGACTCTTCGGACTCTTCGAGCTCTTGAGAGTCTTGAGAGTCTTGCAGCTCTTGTGACTGTTCTGGCTCGTATGGATCGATCTCTGGACAATCAAGCTTGACATCTTGGATGTTGCCAACAGTAATGTTCAACGACGCTCCAAGCTCCTGCAGTACTTCGAGAGAGGAAAGGTCTCCTTCAGCATTGACGTATTGTTTTACTATGCCCTCCAGATAGGCAATTCGAGCGCGCACATTGTCTGCGCTGCCATAGAGTCTTTTCTTTCTAGGCTTGGTGGTCTTGCAGGTATAATTAAAATGTTCGCAGTGCTGACAGCGAGCTTGCCCGGGGATTTGCAGGCACTTGTGTTTTCTTGCCTTACAACGATCGCAGCTTCGTGCCGTGCGCTGTCGCAGCTCGGGAGGCACTCGACGAGCTGCTTTTCGCATTGCTGCCTTCTCCGTGGCTGTAGTCATGGTGGTTGGATGCAGTGATAACAGCCGGGAGAGCCGGAACTCGGGGGAATTTTGAGGAGAAGGGAAAGAACAACACTCGACCGGTGCTCCGATGGCCTCCTTATAATGGCTCGGAGGCGGGCGTTCACCCCCTCATTTCGACAAGGGTATATGGATGATTAGACCACTCAGTGCAGGCCGTATGCAACCATGGCCTTAGCGTGCAAGACCGGCCCAGATAGCGCCGGCGACAGATAAGCCCAACCAGTCCTTCCCACACACACAATGGCAGCAGCCTGCGAATCCTGGCTCCGACAGCAAATGAAGGCCAAGAACACGAAAATTGTGCTGGGTTCACCCCCTGAGGGTCGTGATACTCTCCGCGCTAGGGTTTGTGATGTGACAGAGAGGACTCCCGCTATACTCACCACAAACCCACCACTCAGACCACTTGTCAGGCACATTTTTTCGACCGAAACTTGGTGTACAGAAAGATCGTTCAAAAATGGAGATCCTGCCAAAGAACCCTGCGTCATCCGACGAAGGAGAGATCAATACCAGGACCAAGATGACCGCGCAAGGCATCATCCTCGTGCCTCAACCAAGTGACGATCCGGAAGATCCCTTGGTACGTCTCCCTACTGCGAAGTCATTTATTCAGATCGTCCTAACGGTAGAGCGATTACCTACAGAATTGGAGCACATTCACCAAGCACGCGGCTCTCGTGGTTCTCGCGTTTGAGTCATTCCTGGTCAAGTTTTCAGCCACTCTCATTGTAGGTTCACTAACACACCCAGGGACCTTCTTGAATCATTTCCATCTAACCGCTCTTTTAGGCTCCCGATGCTCTTGAGCTATCCAGGGAGTTTGGAGTAAGCAAAACCACCGCGACCTACATCGGCTCTGTACCCTCCATATTGAACGCAATAACGTCCTTCTTCTGGATTCCGCTAAGTCATCGGATTGGTCGACGGCCTGTACTTCTCATTGGGAACTTGATAGCATTGCTCAGTGCAATTGGAGTGGCTCGGTCTCAAACGTACGCCGAAGCTCTAGCTTGTCGAATGGTCATGAACCTGGGTGGCAGCGTCGGTTTGTCCATTGGACCCGCTGCCATCTCCGACATGTTTTTTCTACACGAGAAGGGTTCACGAATGGGTATAAACAGCATTCTGCTTGTCATTAGTCCGTATGTAGGTGGAGTGGCCGGTGGCTCCATCGCATACAATAAGAGCCTCGGGTGGCGGTGGTCGATGTACATCGCAGCCATCCTCTACGCCACACAGTTCATCGCCCAAATCTTTCTCGGTAATGAATCACAATACTCCGCTATTACACCATTTTTCCTTTTGCTTATCTAATTCCCCCTGATTCAGTCCCCGAAACTATCTACAAACGAGATGAGAATGCAGCAGCCACATCCCAGCCCCAAGACTCGAAGCGAAACGCTTTCCTTTCTTTTCTCAAATTTCGTACCCCCAAAGTCCCCGAAAACGAAACTTGGGCTCAAACCTTCCGCAAGCCTTACAAGATGTTCGCGTATCCTGCCGTTGTTCTTCCATCCTTCTGGTTCGGGGTTGCAAACATGACCGAGGTCGGCAACACAGCGGGCTTCGCCCTCAACTTCGGCCTAGATACTCACTGGAAATTCAATCTAGCCCAGGTAGGCTTCTGTTACTTTTCCGGTGTTATCGGGGCCGGAATTGGCGAACTATTTGGAGGGCCACTCTGCGACTTGCTCACAAAGTACACAATGCGGCGAGGCCAGGTTTGGAAGCCGGAACGGCTACTTCATCTCGTGTGGACAGGTCTGGTCACTGTCTCGGTAAGCACATGATGATGATAAACTGGTAATTTACGAGCCATAACCCTAATATTCTATATCTAGGCTGGTTTACTCTTGTACGGACTCGAACTCGAGTTCGGGGACAGCTGGGCTTCGGCTCTGACGGGAATCGGTTTATTCACGTTCGGGCAGGAAATCATGGTTACCGTTCTCTTGACTTACATGACGGAGTGCTATCCGGAAGATGCAGCAGAGGTAACTATCGTTTTTCAGTTCTTCTTTGCCGTGCAGACTTTCCATCCCCCGTTCTATCTCCCCCAGTGGATCGAAGCTCCTGCCGGACCGAAGGTCCCCTACATCGTGTTCGCGGCACTTCCTGTGGTGTTTTATCCCTTTTGTATCGGTATTTTTACGTGGAAGGGTGAGCAGATCAGGAACAAAGGCCCGTTGTTTGCATGGTAAGTCTGCAAGGGTGGCCCATCTCTCTTGAGTAGAGTGCGATATACTTGGTAAGTATTTTTACTGGTGCTGGATTACGGCATAGACTTGGGAGGCTTTTTGTTGCTTTATAGTTAGTCCGTTAAGTAGCTTAGATGTGAGTGTGGTGCGGGTGCGCTTTCAAGGTAGAGCTTGAAGTGAGAATTGAGGCGGCGCGTGAAGATTACGAATTAAATATTCCTTGTTGCATCATCTGCACAACGATTGGCCATTATGAAGTCTTATCACAAGGGGTATTTTAATCCACCAATAATATTCGAAAGCAATTAAGCCACAATTTCAACCCTAATGCTTGCTTCAGCCATATCCGACTGAAACCAGAACCCAATATCCTTCGTAGTATCCACGAGCTCTACCTCGCGTTTCACGAACCCCGGCTCTTCAGCCGCCTTCACCTCTTGCTCTGTAGCACCATCAACACCTCCCTCCCCATCATCTTCACTATCCCAGCCCTCATCATCCTCCATCTTTTCCTTGCTCACCGGGTCCAACTCATCAGTCTCCCAAACCAATCTAAAGCTATAAGGCCGTAGCCCAAAAAGTCGAGAAACAATAGCCTTGAGTTGATAAGTATCGAACGACCGAGGGACTTCTTTAACCTTGGTAGTTACTCCCTCTGACCCGACACCCTCGGTCTGGGATAGACGAAACACCAACTTTACCAGCCTCGCAGCAACAGACCGCGGGTTCACAGCAGCACTACCAGCCCCTGACTCGGCCCTTCTGATATCAGGTTGGCCATACAGCTCGCACAGCTCTTTGTATCTGGGATGCTTAGCAAGGATGCTTGCTTCTGCTGTCTCTGGGGAAGCGGATAGCTCTTTTCCGATGAGGGAGAGATAGTATAGTTCTCCGTTATTGCGGTCCTTGGGGGTGATTTTGCCGTAGTTGAGCATTTGTAGAGAGCCGATGCGGGATAGTGTTAGCATGTACGCTTCGTCGACTGTCATGGGTTTCTCGGGAACGCCGGTGATGTGCGATGGGCCGACGGGCTGGTCGTATAGTGGGTTGCCGGATATGCGCAGGGTGTCTAGGCCTAGGAATAGGGAGGGGAGGTGGTTGATGAAGTCCCATGTGGTGATCTTGTTGCGGGATAGGTCGAGGGAGTGGAGGCTTTGGGGGAATTGGAGGGCTGTGTCTGAGGTGTTGTTGGCGTCGTGGATAGTGGAGATGTTGTTTCCGCGGAGGGAGAGGTGCTCTAGTCTTGAGAGCGAGGCGAGTGATTCGATGGAGGATAGGGAGGTGATGTCGTTATTCTCTAGGGTAAGGCGGGTGATGGTGTTGGAGAGGGGGGTTGTCAGCATTGAGAGTTGGTTTGCTGAAGCGGAAAGTGTGTTGAGAACGGGGAATTGATAGGTCAATGCTGATATCTCCTCCCATATTAGAAGGGTCTCGTCAATGTGCAGTGTCGTGATGCCCTCAAACTTCAAACCCTCCTCGAGAGAACCGAGTCGGTTTCCTCTGTGACCATGTTAGCTCAGTGTAATCAATCAACGCAGTCCAATGAAACCTACATCAGCTTCAGCCCCTTAAGGAACTTCAACCGTTCACAAATCCGAGCTACACCACTCCAAGTCGTCAACAAGTTCCGGCTCAGATCCAGCTCGGTAATCTGGGGACAAGTCTGCTCAACCTCTGCATATGCAGACTCGATCTCTTCAGCTGATGCATCATGCCCTAGCACGCCCGCAACTTGCAATCCATCAAGAAGCACGATCTTCAGCTCCTGGAGCCTAGCAAGCTGTTTGCGGATCTTGTCGAAGCCAACTTCCTCAACGACCTTGCCGCTGATCTCAATGGGTTTGTGCAGAGCATCACCCGTAGCATCATTCCGCTGTCCTTGCCTAGCAATCTCTTGCTCGAGGAACTCAGACGCATACTTCTCGCGCAGCGCCTCGATGAATCCTCGAGGTTTATCCGCCGGACGAGACGGACGCACGAATGACCCCGCTGTAGGGTGTTTGCTTTTGCCTGCTATATGTAAGCATGCATTCTAACCAGCAGCCATGCCTCAATCCCATGCGCAAGACCCAAGACCCGAAAGAGTACACTTACAAGTGAAATATCTCACCCCGCGATGCTCTCCCGAATGCTTTCCCCGAGTCGGGTCATCCCATTCGACTCCTAACCACTCCCCAGAGGTGCCCTCAACAGTACCCACGTAGCGCACGGTACACAAATCCCCAGCATACGACCGTCTCTGACCTACGTACGCAGCCTCCATTCTAATATCGCCGAGAACCATGCCTCCTAAACATACAGTTCCGAACAAATAGATACAACGAGCGTCCCAGCATGTGACGGATTTCCCACTCTCCCCGCTCCACCAATGGCAGCCCATACCCCCGCTTACATAACTCTGTATGCCTGAGGCAGAAGCTAATCTCCAAATCGGCCAAGCAGAACTTCCTCGACACTACGATATCACCTCCATACCCTACTGCTATCCATCTCCACAACCACAACCCGGCAGGATGGATTACCAAGTAAGCATCTCACCCCACCCTCTACACCCAAAACCCCATCACTAACAAAACCCCATCACTAACAAAACCCCTCTTAACAGAACCGCGCGGGCTCCAAATTCGGCGGCGGCGGCGTCGCCTCACACTCCGCCACGAACGCCGACCGACGCGAGCGCCTACGCAAACTCGCGCTCGAAACCATCGACCTAGACAAAGACCCCTACTTCTTCAAGAACCACGTGGGCAGCTTCGAATGCAGACTATGTCTAACGGTACACCAAAACGACGGGTCATACCTAGCCCACACGCAGGGGCGGAAACATCAAACGAACCTTGCACGGCGCGCAGCGCGCGAACAGCGCGAGGGCAAGAACCAAGATCCGTCGTCTATTCCCGGGGCGATGGGTGTGCAGGTCAAGAAGCAGACGATTAAGATTGGACGGCCCGGGTATAAGATCACGAAGATTCGGGACCCCTTGACGAGACAGTTGGGGATGTTGTTCCAGTTGCAGTATCAGGAGATTACGCCGGGAGTGACGCCCAAGGTGCGGTTTATGTCGGCGTTTGAGCAGAAGGTCGAGGAGCCGCCGGATAAGAATTTTCAGTATTTGGTGGTGGCGGCCGAGCCGTATCAGACTTGTGGGTTTAAGTTGCAGGCCAAGGAGATTGATCGTCGGGAGGGACGGTATTGGACGTGGTTTGATGAGGATAGTAAGGAGTTTTGGGTGCAGATTATGTTTAAGACGGAGAGAGAGGAGAGGTTTTCGGGTGTGCCTGGTTTGGCGCCTCTTAGGGAATAAGTCCTAGGGGTAGTGAATGTTTCTTTATTGTTGTTGCTGTTGTTGGTTTCCTGTTGAAGGTCGGGTATGGCGTTTCATGGGCTTGCACTGCTGGCAAAATGTTGTGGCTATCGTTCTTTCTATTCTATTGCTGTGTTATGCATTAGAGTGGCTTCGCATCAATACCATGCCCTCTTTTACTTCTTCTTCTAATGATACAATCTATCCACGATGAGAGTTTTAGTTCTACATGAGACGCAACTTCTACCGCAATTTTATGCATTGGCTAAATGCTAATAGCTACGGAACACAGTCCTGCATTCGCGGGCTTTTCTAATACATGATATGATATCCACTCATATGTATCCCCGGTTAGATACAGTCGGTAGCTAGCAATCGTCGTCTCGCGACACGGATGCAAAATCAATAAGGTAATAGGAAATGAACAATGCTAGGTCGTGACCAACTGAGGTGAAATGTCAAATGCGCTAGATGCTGGATGAAACTGATGCACAAGGGGATGCCCGAGACCAGAACCTAAATGCGCCACTGAAAAGCCATCAATGCAAGCCCGCCCGCTGTCGGACTCTTCAATGACGTCTATCGTGGGTTCACAAGGACACTCGGATGTCGACTGTATCTTCAATTTCCCTGGAAGGCGTTGAACGCTTTGTACGTGTATCCGATGAATGGAAGGCTCATCTCCGCCTCCTGCTCGTCCGGCATGGCGCGAGCCTGAGCGCGGTGGATGGCACTGGTATCCTCCTGAGGAATCTCGTCTATCGGGAAGTACGACACGTCAATGTTCGAGCTCAGTCTCGGTTCGAACGGCGCACGGATGCTGCGCAGTTGCTCCCAAACGACTCCGCGGAAGAAGGGGTGGTTCTTGATCTGCGTTGCGCCGCCGAATTGGCCGCCATCGCTTCCGATACGGTGCTCTGCGTCGCAGAGGAAGCTAATCCAGAATTAGCATGATGCATGAGCGAATGATGCGCATAAAGCTTACCTTCTGATGAGACCCTCGGAATCGCGCGAAAGAGTGAGTTCCTCGGGGAAATACAAGCATTCTCTCCAGTTCACAATCTTGCGGTAGGTGTCGGTGGTGTCTTCCGCGCAGAACGGGGGCCAACCCACAAGGCACTCGAACATGATAGCACCTACAGACCACCAATCGCACAGGTAGGTGTATCCTTGACCGTTGAAGATCTCGGGGGCGATATAGTCCGGAGTACCGACCGTGGAGTATGCCATTGCGCGACGAGACTTTCTCCACGTGTTGATTTGGCCACGGTTGGAGACTGTCAGGTTGATCGCATCGTTGAAGTAACCAGAGTTGCGGTTCTTGTCCTTTGACGTCGAGTTCTTCAGCAGGTTCTGGTAGTAGGAGTTGTCGTGGGTCTTCTTTCCTCCGGTGGACAAACCAAAGTCCGTCAGCTTGACGTGACCACCTCGATCCAGAAGAATGTTATCAGGCTTGATGTCACTATAGACGAAAACAATTAGCACCTCGACTTTGCATCTGCTGGCCGCATCAAGCGCCTAGTACTTACCGGTGAAGGAAGCCGAGCTTGTGAACAGCCTCGATCGCCATGACAATTTCGGCCATATAGAATCGGGTGATATCCTCGGAGAAGATTTCGTACTTGATCAACATGGTCATCAAGTCACCACCAGGCAAGAATTCCATCAGCAGATACAAGTATGCGGTGTCCTGGAAAGAAGCATGCAGCTTCACCAACCACGGGTTGTCCTTGGAATCAGCAAGGATATCACGCTCCGCGCGAACGTGAGCCAGCTGGTCCTTCTTGAACATCTCCGTTTTGATCAACGACTTCAGCGCGTAAATCTTGCCATCGGTCTTCCGTTGTACCAGCTTCACTTCACCGAATGCACCCTTTCCGATAATCTTGATGGTCTGGAAGTTCTGCGGGGTTTCCTTGGTACGAAGGAATCGAAGGAAATTCGATTCTTTCTTAGCAAGCACCTCTGCGTCCTTGCACTTGTTCTCCTTGGGGATACTCGGTTCACGGATCATCTTGTCAAGCTCAGCAGACCTAGGAAACGCACCGAGTCAGCGATACCAATTTCCATGCAGGGGAGGGGGCTGTGGCATTTGTGGAATACTCACCGCATGTTGCGATCGCGTGCGCGCTCGATGTTCTCATTGAAGAAGACGCTGACCAGCTCCTTGGCTGCCTTACCACGCTTGTGAACATTCTCGGAGTACCGTTCGGGATACCGCTGCAACTCTTCGTTCTCCGCGGGGGTGCGAGGGCTACGAGGCATAGGAGGCGCCAGGTGGCCCGGCTGTTGCTGCCCGGGGGCGGGGGAGCCCGCAGTTCGGGGTCGCTGAGCTGGCGAGGCAGAACGAGCAAAGAAACCCGAGCGAGGGGAGTTCAGGTCCTGGTTCGAGAACTGCTGGATCAGACCGTTGGTGCCATCGTTCGCGCTGTAACCCATGCGGGACTGGTAGGCGGGCTGAGGGGACTGCAGGTTCTGGCCATAATGCGGCTGGCCGTAGGCAGCCTGAGCTTGGTAAGGATTGGCCATGAAATAACCACCTTGAGCATAGGCACCGTTCTGGGCGTCCATATAATCCTGGGGACCCTGGTTTTGGTAGATCGGCTGGGGGAAGGCGGAGGGGGTAGTGGGATAGGCGCGGTTGTTGGCCGCCGCCGCATTGAAACCACGATCGTTGTACCCGAAATTCAGGTGGAGTCGGTTGTTGTTGTTGGGATCCATGATGGAAAACTTTCCTCCCCGACTACCAAACGAGGGCTAGGGAAAGCGGGGGGAGTTGAAAGCGAGTGGATGAAGAATTGGGGGGGGGATGGAGATGGGAAAGAATAATCCAAGGGGGAGGGGGAAACAAGAGCCCGAAGGAGCGGTGGCCTCAGGAGGCGAAGGGGGGCTGTCGACAAGCAACTTTCAGGAGCGCTTTCTTCGCTGTTGTCCCTGAGATTGGCTTAGCAGAGGGGGGGAAATGCAGTGGAGAGGTCCAGGCACAACAACCAAAGGCTGGCTGGCTCTTCTTCTGCCCCAGTGGCGGCAAGTCCCGTACTACTACTAAGTAACCTATTACCCTCTCTAACAAAGTATCTGTCGGGCAACCAGCTTTGTGTTTCAGGTTCACGATCCCGAATTGAAGTCAAAGACAGGGATAATAGGATACCAAAGAAAAGACACGATGCTACTGCAACCACTACTACTCAAGGATTGATGATCCGATCAGCACGGGGGGAAGAGGGAAACTGGAAAAAGAGACCGATGCTTAATGCTTAATGTTCCAGACTCATACGGCACTCGATTGGAGCCACGAATGCTGTCTCACAATGATTGAATGTAATCGCTGCTAGTACCATCTTCTTCATCTTCAATATGTCTTCACTGCCTTCAAAGGAGTATAAAGAATTAGAGGTCTAGCGTGTGTGTTCCTCATGGTGACAAATTAATACCATCAAGGGAATGCTAGTGCTCCAGCAATGATGAATGTTAACGCCAGCAGCATAAACCAATTTATGTCTCCTTCTAGATGTCTTTTCAGCTGGACGGGTTCGAAATTTACAATCTGAAACTCCAAGGGATCATCTGAGACCTGGTCTTTTTAGACTAAATCTCCGTGGTATGCAACACTGAGTTTAGCTGGGGTGCATCTTCTGCTGCTCCTCCAGATTCCGCCTTCAACTCGGCATCTTCGCCTCCGGATAAACCCTCGTCCCGACCGGAGCTGCGCAGAGCATCCCGAACTTTTTCGGCAATCATGCATTTCCCTTCACGACATGCCATGAGGGAGTGCTTCCTGCTCCCTGTTACGTACCAAAAGTTTTATTATTTTGTATCTTAATTATATACCCCAAACTCTCTTATACCCTTGTTCTCCATCCCCCTACACCATGGCGGAATCCTCCAATTCCGCCGCGGCCTCAGGCCCGGCCCAGTCCGCAGCGTCCACCAGCGCTCCCAAGCCCTCCAACCCAGCCTTCAGAATGCTTGGTATAGATCCCCAATGCCCTTAACCAATATCTTCATACCTAATAGTCTCCAAGGAATGCCGAATCTCCGCATGAAACTCCCCTCCCGGAACTGGATGATCTTCTTCACCATCACCGGATCGTTCGCCGCAGCTGTCATTTACGACCGGAGAGAGAAGCGCCGCGCACAACAAAAATGGGGTGACCTCGTCGCTCACATCTCCAAAGAGCATCTTCCCATCGAGCAAACCCGACGCAAGATCAACGTTTTCCTGTCCGCGCCACCGGGTGACGGTATCCGTGTAGCTCGCGACCACTTCAAAGAATACGTCAAGCCGATCCTTGTGGCGGCGGCACTGGACTACCAAATCATCGAAGGCAGGAGGGAAGGCGACATCCGTGCTGGTTACGCGGAGCGCATTCGCAAGTGGAGACGCAAGGCAGGCGAACCGAGCACAGTGGTGGAGGACCCCACGGTCGAGGACGTCGTTTTCGCCGCCAGGACGCAGATGGGCGTTATCGAGGAGCCCGGACCGAAGGGTGATCTGGTCATCGGTCGTCACACATGGAAGGAGTACATTCGTGGTCTGCACGAAGGCTGGCTGGGCCCTCTCGATCCTCCCCCTCCGCCTCCGCCCACGGAGGAACCCGCTCCTGTGGAATCGAGCACACCCGCCGCAGAGACCTCCGAGACCAAGGAGGGCGACGCCAACGCCTCCGAGCAGGAAAAGAAGGAAGAGAAGCCTGCTAAACCCGTCGGACCGACACCAGCCTACATCTCCACATCCGACTACTCATCGCAACCCCTCCCCCGTACAATTCCCCAGACTCTTTCAGGCTCTGTCCCCATCGCCTTCCCCCACATCCTGGGTTTCCTCAACACCCCCATCAGACTCTACCGCTACCTTAACCAGCGCCATATGGCCGAGAGCGTAGGCCGCGACGTCGCCGCCATCGTCCTGGCCTCATACAGCCGCCCTTACCACACCGGCTCCGGCTCCTCGGATGCCTCCCCCATCTCCGACGATACCCTTGGCAGCACTACCTACGAACAACAGACCGTCCTCGAGGAGGAAGAAAAGGAATGGCACAAGTCCGTCCACCGCAAGGACGAAGCCAACCCCGACAAGGAACGCGAGTGGCTCGACGACATCGTCATCGACCCGCGCCTTGCCTCCCGCATGCATCGCTTCAGCGTCTCGCCCGAGGAAGAGGCCCGCGCCCAGCGCATCCGCGACGGCCAGGAATACATCCTGGGTCAGGAACGCCCTGTTCCTGTGTCGTTCTGGAAGCGCATGTGGGTGAAGTACGGATACGGAGAGGATGAGGAGACGTTGAGAAGGAAGCCCATTCTGGGCAACCTTGACGAGGAGTAATCCATCCTCCGAGAAACGATCTGCGAGAAGGGTATTGTTGTCACCATAAATAGAAAGGGTTTATTAGATCTCTATCTGTGTTTGGGCTAGAGGTATATAGACATATGCTTACTTTTTTTTTTCTGGTCCTTGGTATTTTGAGGTCGATACGATCAATTGCATGGGAAACGTGTTTTGTCTGGATGGATGGGTATATGTATTAACTATTGACATCTCCTTTTCAAACTGTATATTAGTCGAATTTAAGATGATCTTGACTGGTCAAATTTTTTCAGATCTAGTGTAGAACCTCTCTCTCAAACCCCTGTAATTGTGTAAGCTTACGCCGGAGGGCCCTACTTCAGTACCATGATTCATTCTCACGTGAAAGAATTTCAAACCTAGTAACCCGAGACGACTTATTCTGACTGGGCTAATTTCTATTTATTGCAAAAGTCTAATACAATACGCCTCGATGGATGTCGAAAAGCATTTTGCTGTATAGTTTTCGCCTCACACCACATACCAGGGCTTTGAAGTACAATTAGATATGTACACCCAGGTAGGATCCAGCTACAGCTACGAATTCGTAGCTGATCAAATTCTAAGGATAGAAGAATGGCAAAGATAAGGATAATGATCAGGAGAAGGAGAAGGAGGAGGAAGAAGAAGCTAATGAGACAAGGAGAAAAAGTTCCTTTCCGCCAATCATGTTACAGAGGTTCAAAAGTATAAGGTAAGTTTTGAATATGAGTAGTCCAAGAAGAAGAACTGTCCTATCACTTTAGTCGAGGCGGAACACCGTCGCCTCGGGCCACTTGCTGCTTGCCTTCTCAACATAAGCAGACTTTGCGGCGTGGTTGCTTCCCCACTCGCTCAGGAGCTCCAGGCCTGCCAGGGCAGTGTCAATGGTGATGTCCTTGGAGTCGAGGGTGGCGACGAGGTCCTGTTCACATTGGGGCTTGGAGTCGGGCTTCAGGAGCTGGCGGCTGGTCAGGCCGGCTTGTTGGTGGGGGATGCTCTCCTTGTGGGTAGAGAGGAAGGTGTTGTTCCATTCCTCGAGGTTCTGGCCCTTGGGGAGCAAGGCCTCGAACTCGGTGTTGACGACCTCGGCTACTTGGGGCGCAAGTGGCTCGGAAAGGCTATCCAGGGCCTTGCGGAATCGGAGGACCTGGACATGAAGGGTGGGGTTGGATGCGTCGATGGCGTGGGCCGCGGTGAGGCACTTGAGAGCAAGGGCGTGCTTGCCTGAGGTTGCAATTAGTATGTGACAATGATTGATAGCAAAGGGTGAACGTACCTCTCCTGAGGTAAACCTCGAATCCGAGACACTGGGCCTCAATGCTCTTGGGGCTAAGCTCCAGCAAGTGTGTCAGGAACTTGGTCGCATCCTTGAGCGGGTCTTGCGTCTGGGCAAGCTGGTTGCCGAGCGGGTCTGAGTCTTCCTTCTTCACTTCTCCGTCAACGCTCTTTGTGCTTGCGGCCTTTCTGGCTTCACGCTTCTCCGCCTCAATCTTCTCCAGGCGCTGCTGCTCCTTCTTGGCCTTCTTGACCGCCTTCTTACGTTCCTCGTCGTTGTCAGCAACGGCGCTGGGCAGAGGTCCGTGAGCCAGGTCGGGCTGGTCGTGAAGGAGGAGGTAAGTCTTGATGGCGGAGACGGCCATCCGGGTGTAGAAGGGGTGCTCGCGCAAGCGGTCTTCCCAGCGAACCATGTCCACATACGCACGGATCATACCCTTGCGAAGGGAGAAGCTGTGGAAATCGAACTGATCTTCTTGCCAGGTGTCGAAGATGTTGTAGACAGCATGGAATCGCTTCAGCGCGAGGCCGAGCTTCTTCTGACGCAGGTACGCCTCACCATCCTCGGTCAGGTACCAGACACATTGCATCTCATGGAGATCACCCATAGCTCCACCAACGGTTTCGTTACGAGTGAACTTGCTCATGTTGTCAAGAGCCTTGTCATTCTCGTTGTTGCGGAGTTGATACTTAGCAGCCTTGGAGTTGATGTGGCGGTCCTTTTCGTCCAACAGCCTGGCCTTCTCCATCTCCTCAGCCGCCTTCTCGAGGTTTCCGTAATGCTTATATATCCGCGCCTTGGTCAATTGGTACTCCACAGCCTTGGGCGATAGTTCAAGGGCCTTGTCGACACTCTCCATGGCCTTGGACAGGTCGCGGCTGAGGTGGTAGTTGTAGTGCTGGGCGAGGAAGTAGTAGGAGGAAGAAAGGAACTCGGTGTTGTCGGCGCCGGACTGACCTTCCGCGGAGCCATTCGACTGAGGCGTCGTCGCGACGTAGCCTTCAACAAGTTCCTGCACTGTATCACGCTTGGCGGGGTTGCTGTACAGTGACTTGATGTTGGCAAATAGAGAGGGAACGCCCTTCTTGAGCATGCGCTGCAAGTAGGCGTCGGCGGCCTGCTTGAAATCATCGCCCTCCAGGAACTCCAAGGGAATTCTGCGAGCAGCATCACCACGGGGGAACTTCTCGACCCACGAGTCATAGACGGCCTTCTTGGCCTTGTGGTCATCACTAGGGATACCCTTGGCCCGGACCAAGGCATCGTAGTAGAGCGAGTTTTCCGGGTTCCGGTCCAGGAGCGCAATGTACGCTGCCTCCGCTTCAGCCTTTCTGTCCAGTCGCAGAAGGTAGTCCGCCTTCATCTCCATCACAGCAAGCACGTCCGAAATCCTGTGTCCCACCTTCTCCAGATGTTCCAACGCCTGTTCCACCTTACCAGCCTCGGCCATGATCACGTTCTTGTACAGAACGGCCTCCGAATGCTCCATATCCGAGGTCGGCGGAGGGATCTTTAGCGTCTCTTCGTAAGTATTCAAAACCTTTTCGGCCTCTTCCAGATCTCCGGAGAGGTGGTGTGCGATCGCGAGAGCCGTCCAGTTCTGTCGGAAACCCGGGCGAGCCTGCAGCATGGCTTTCCTGCTCTGAATGTAGCCTTGGTAATCGCGCATTTGCATTTGCAGCAGCGCAAGATCCCGCTGGATTGGCTGTGAGTCCGGCTCAATCCTCAATGCAAACCGGTATGCCTTGATTGCCTCTTCGTAGTTCTTGTCCGCCCGATACAGCAATCCGTACACATGCCAGCAGATGTGCGACTTCATGTCATTCTTCAGGGCTTCCTTGGCCAGCACAAAAGCCTCCTCCTGCTGGCCCATGTTGCTCATAATCAGAGCCTTCATCGCCAAGGTATCACCATGATTGGGGTTCTTCTTCAGGATCTGTTCGGCGGTCTTGATGCCTGTTCGGAAGAGAGCACAGTTAGCTTTCCTGCCCACTTGCGGAGACCTCCAGCGTGTCCAATCGAGATCGCAAACGCACCCTTCTTGTGTTGCTTGTTCTCATAATGACGAACGACTTGGCGGAACAAGGATGCATCCTTGGAGTTCAATGGTTGCGGCATGGTGAGTGTGGTTGGCCGATGGTGGTCTGTGAAGGACTTGCCAAGTGACTGTGCGAAGACGGAAGCTCGAAGTGCGCGGGGGAGGAATGACGATGGACGACGATTAGTCGATCAGGCAGCGATAAGCTATGACCAACACTCTGACAGCATGCACGTCCTAGGGGATATTAGAATTATCCTTGACCCCTATCCAATCCTCTGGTTCACCCGTTCAAGCGGCTCAAATGGTATGGTTAAATGATTGCTTTTACTCGTAAAGTTCTTGCCGACCGCCGTCCTCGAGGGCTGCCCGGCACCAGACGAAATTATTATCCGAAGCGGCCCTCTGCAGATGCAACCTGGCGGCCCTGATACTTACCCTCCATATCACCTAATTGTCGACAAGTGACATTGCTAATGAGTATTCACAGCATGTCGTCTGTTCTGTTAATTGGTAACAAATGGTAGAGTACGCGATTCAAGCCAAGTTCATGTTTTGATTCATACATCCCGCCTGGGCTCCTACCAAGAACGCCTATTATATGCAGCTATCTTACAACATCATATACATAGCAAGTCCAGTCTCATCAAGTCAGGTCAGTAAACAGACAATAAGCAGCTGGAAATGGGACCCCCAATGGTTGGAGGCCCTCAATCATAATCAATGCGGTGACTACTACTCGACCCGGAGATCATATCACTCTGTCAACGGTGGTGCCTGCTCTCGTTGTTTATTCTCACGCCATTTATTCAGCGCCTCTTCCCAGCCCTCGGACGGGCCACCACATCTTTCCGTTACCAGACCCCACGTACGTGTGCGTATAATGTCTTCGACCCCCCGTTGAGTGCGGACAAGGTTGGCCAACGACTCAGTCCGTGCCTCCCGAGGCAAAAACCGGGCCGCATATGGGTCTAGGCGATCATCGACAATATGCTCGCGATCCTCTGCAGATTCGGTCTGCTGGAGAATGAGGTCCGGGTCTTCCGGGTCGGGACTTGTGGCCACCCCGGCGCAATAGTTGAGCACATCCGAACGAACTTGCCATGATGGAAACAAGACCTTATCCTTGAAGCCCTGGCAAGCAGCTGGCTCGATTTGCTTCCCTTCACTGGCGTCTATTTGTCGAATAGCTGTGGAGGAGGGATCGAATCCTTGTCGAGATGGGGTGAACAAGGCATTGAGGTTTTGCGTAATGGAGTCATCTATGGTCGATCTAGAGATTCGTAGAAAATCTGTACAGCAGCCAGGATACCCCGGGTCAGTCCGCGCCCCGTTACTGTCTATGGACTTGACGGTGGCCGTAGCTGAGCATACCTCTGAGCAGCCTCTCATTGAAACAGAATTGGGGTGTCAGCTGAGGAGCTGAGGTTGACGATGCTCGAGACATATTCCGATCCTCCACCTTTCCAGAGTCACTTTCTGACCTGGAAGTATTCGTCCAGAACCACTCCACTTTGGCAGCTGTACAATATGGAACCGCGGCCAGCGGATCGTTTGGCTGCAAAGAAGTAGTTCAAATAACGACTGTGCTACTGAGGTAAAGGAAGACCGGGTAACTAGTCCGGGGCTATGGTAACTTCCAAAAGGGCCGTGGGCTAGCAATGCAGCAATGCAATGACTTCAACAAGCTAATGTTGAAGTTCTCACGAGGTTCGGCTGGCATGCCGTACTTCACACTTTCCTAGTATATTACCCGATTAGGTTAGCATTCTGTAATCACGGGACTACGTGATGGTCGACGCGCGCGCCACGACCTCCTGCTCCAGCCTCTGCTCGACTTACGTGACTTCATTGAATTGACTTTATACACATCTTTGAGCCTATTCTGTGAGGAGGTCCCAACCAAGGAGACGAAAGTTCACGCCACAATCCGTTCCCGACAGAGACTGTCAACATTGAACATCATGCCCGAGCTAGCGGAAGTCTCACGTATAGTCCATTTCCTTCGTCAACATCTTGTCGGCAAAACGCTTTCCAAGGTGTCGGTGCAAAACGATGACATTATTTACGGCAAAGCGGGCACCACTGCTGCCGAGTTTCAAAAGGCAATGGAAGGGAAGAAAGTTACTGGTGCCGGACAGCAGGGCAAGTACTTCTGGATTGCTATGTCATCACCACCCCATGCAGTTATGCATTTTGGTATGGCGGGCTGGCTGAAGATCCGGGACGCCGACACATACTACTACCGGACAGACAAACCAGAAGATAAGGAGTGGCCGCCGAAGTACTGGAAATTCTTGCTCGAAACCGACGGCGATCCAAAGACAGAGGCTGCGTTTGTTGATTTTCGCCGACTGGCCAGGATACGTCTGGTAGACTGTCCCGCGGAGGAAATCCGTAAATACAGTCCTCTGAAGGAGAATGGCCCAGATCCTGTCGCCGATAAAGACATTGTATCGGAGGAGTGGCTGGCAAAGAAGCTGAGAAGCAAGAAGGTACCTGTAAAAGCCCTGCTCCTTGATCAGGCGAATATTAGCGGAATAGGCAACTGGATGGGGTATGTTTCTTCAGGTTCCCCTCATGGCAATTTCATCCAGCTGACTGCTTTTATAGCGATGAAATTCTCTACCAAGCTAAAATACACCCTGAGCAATACAGCAACACTCTCGATGATGACCAGATCAAAGAGCTGCATTCAGCGATACATTATATCTGCTCCACTTCCGTAGAACTTCTGGCAGATTCGGAGAAATTCCCAGCTGACTGGCTGTTCAAACATCGGTGGAGTAAAGGCAAGAAGAACACGCCATCAGTGCTGCCAAACGGGGAAAAAATCACTTTCCTTACGGTAGGCGGCAGAACCAGCGCAGTGGTTCCAAGCGTGCAGAAGAAGACTGGGCCAGTAGCCAAGGACGTCAGCAGTGAAGACGCCAGTAATGCGCCGGCAAAGTCGAAGCGAAAGCGGGCCTCAGTGAAAAAGGAGGAGAGCGAACCGGAAGCTAGCGAAGAGGATTTGAAGCCCAAGACAGGGCCCAAAAGGCAAAGCAGGGCTTCTGTCAAGAAGGAAGACATCGATGAGACAGAGACTAAGCCGGTAGAAGCACAACAAACTACCAGAAGGCGCTCTGGCCGACTTCGAAAGTAGGAATCCCGACCATTGTATCATTATAACCATATTAGCGACGTATCGGGAGATACGACGTGACGGACGTTATTATATCGGTTTTATATAATACTATGTACCACTTTTCCTGGTCTACCTGTTCATACCTTCAATCCATGCAGCCTTTCCCGGAAGACATCGAAATTGCTGTCACCCTGGGCAACTTTCGACATGTCATCTAAAACCGCAAATACAATCCTCTCCCACCATCCCTGAAATTCGTTTTCTTTCAGGACTTCGAACCAACATTGAGCAACCTCGGCATTTGGGTTCGCAAACGCGCCACAACCCAGAGCTCCTAGGACTATTCTCCGATGCTTCTTATACCCTGCAATGCGGAGAATAGACCGCATCTTGTCTTTGGTCAGTTCTCGATCAGAACGAAACTTAAATGCCGCTGGATTTGCCGTATAGTCCACCTCTGGTCCTTCCAGGGCAGCAACGCTAATAACGCTCACAATAGGGAGATGTTCAGGCTTCTGCAGGTCCATCAGCCCATGACCCTGTGTGAAACTTTCACGGAAGATAACGACGGTCGGAGAATAGATGGCGTCTCGTTCTCCTATGGGATAGTATCGGTATTTAAGGGTGGAGCTGAGGCTGCTTCGATAGCAAAGAGCCTCCTCCTGAGCCATAGCTCCATTACGCCAACCGCCGCCTGGATTCCTTTCGTTGGCCATATTCAAGACACACACGTTCCGCGTGTCAGTTTGCCGGAATTGCCTGGAGGGGCTATTAACCCTAATGGCGATGTCGAACGTATCTCCAAATATGACTTCGACATGGGTTGATAGCTTTGGACTGAACCTTGGATTTAAAGAAGGATATCTGATGCGTGGACAGTACTGTGCTGTTGGAGGTGCCCGAGGCACCGTGCTTAGAATGCCGGGGAGAAGGGCTTGAGTCTCTTCCGCGGTCGCTCTTAGCATTGCTCTCCTATCAGCTCCCGACATAGGCCGTGGTCGCACATTGACCGGTCGGAAGTAGTCCGGTAATAACTTTTGGCTCATCTTTGTATTTGTGGTCTGCTGTGAAACTATGTAAGCAGAATGTAAGGTTAATCTGGCTACATGTCTGTTAATGTAGTGTGTGGCATGACTTGACAGTAAGAGCAGACTTAGGCAGCAAGGCTGGAAGCACCAGGGTGCCTGGTGAGCGGCCAGCCAAGTGGAAATCCGAGGGGCAACACGAACGAGCGGCAGAACACGAGTGCCTGGCGGGCGGTGCCGAAAGGCGGTCAGCTTATCATCGCCGATCGCGGGGCTGCCGATAAGCATCCAGTAACATCAGAGTTCGTCGCCACTGCAGATGACAAAGCATTGGTCTTTCTTTCGATCACTGTCACTGTCGCATTTCTTCTACCTGCTCTCATATTTCATGCACACTGAAGTCTTGCACATTGCTCTCAACTTGACGTCGAAGCTTTCATATTGCTAAATCAGCACGGTTCGAGTTGCAGCGCAGACTTCTGAGCCCGCTGCGGAGTGGCGCTGCTATACCTGCTCATCTGGCTAGGAGTCTTCAATTGCCGTCACAATGAGTGCAATTCTATCTGCAGACGACTTGAACGATTTCATTTCTCCCGGAGTTGCGTGCATCAAGCCTGTGGAAACTCTCCCTGCAAAGGATCCCTCGAAAACAGATGTATGTGCTCGACCTTCTCCCTGCTTGTACCCCACTCCATCCAATGAATGAGCCCTGATCTATAATCTCTCAGAACCCCTATGAAGTGACCACAGAAGACAAAGTGCAGCCTGAAAATCTTCCACCGGCACAAATCTCTTTGACTGACTGCCTCGCATGCTCTGGGTGCGTCACTTCAGCTGAGGCCGTGCTCATCTCGTTGCAATCGCATGCGGAAGTCCTCAACACTTTGGATGCGCATCCCGAGTTGCTGATCAACCGTGAAAATGGGACATTAGCACAGGGTCTGGGCACGGACAATGACGAAGGCCGAGTTTTCGTCGCAAGTGTTAGCCCTCAGGTGAGGGCAAGCCTAGCAGCAACCTATGGAATCACGGAGAAGGAAGCATCATACATGATCCAGCAGTTCCTCAGCGGTCCCCACGGTTTGCGTGCTGGAGGCAAGAATGGCAGCGGCTTCACATGGGTTGTCGACACCAATGTTCTGCGCGAGGCTGTCTTGGTTCTTACGGCGGACGAAGTTGACGAGACTTTGACGACCAACCCCGATTCCCCTAGCACAAACAGCGCAACCAATACTCTTCCCAAACGGCCGATCCTCTCGTCCGCGTGTCCAGGCTGGATATGTTATGCGGAAAAGACACATCCATTTGTTCTCCCACATCTGTCACGACTCAAATCACCGCAAGCGTTGGCTGGAACCTTTTTCAAAACCGTCCTCAGTAAATCACTTGGCATCCCGGCCTCTCGTATATGGCATTTGGCCGTCATGCCTTGCTTTGACAAGAAGCTTGAAGCCAGTCGTGAGGAGCTTACCGATGCTTCGTGGCTGTCTGCGAAGGACGAAAACCACACAGCCGTCCGTGATGTTGATTGCGTGATCACCACTCGCGAACTTCTAAGCCTAGCGTCTTCCAGGGGCCTTGCGCTTCCCAACCTACCGTTTAAATCCCTTCCTCAGTCTTATATACCACCATTTCCAGATACCACTTTGAACGAATTTCTGTTCTCAAAGTCTTCCCCAGGACAATCAAATGCCGCAGGTACATCTGGAGGCTACCTCCACCACGTGCTTCAGACTTTCCAAGCACGTAATCCAGGCAGTGAGATTGTCACTCAACGAGGAAGAAACGCCGATGTAGTCGAGTACACCCTCATGTCGTCGGAGCACACGCCTATCCTGAAAGCTGCTCGCTATTACGGTTTCCGCAATATTCAAAATCTTGTTCGCAAGCTGAAACCAGCCCGGGCTTCTCGTCTTCCGGGCGGTAGTCGACGAATGCCGGTCGGACGGGGCGCTGCGTCTGGTGGTTCTGGCACAGATTACGCTTATGTAGAAGTCATGGCATGCCCTGGAGGCTGTACTAATGGAGGAGGTCAGATACGCATTGAAGATGCCCGCGAAGCTAGCTCCAGCGTGCAATCCTCAACCTCGGGCGAAGTGCCCGACTCCTCGTCGAAGCCGACACCACATGAGCAACGCGCTTGGCTTGCCCGTGTAGACGAGGCATATTACTCTGCGGAGTCCGACTCCGAGTCGGAAGCCGGAAGCCAGTCGCAGCCCCTAACCATTCTTGAGAAAGAAGACAAAGTCCATAATGCCATGCGTTATTGGTCCGACTTCATGGGCATCCCGCTCTCGAAGCTTGCCTACACCACATATCGCGAGGTTGAGAGTGATGTTGGCAAGTCCCAGCCTGTCGCGAACGATACTACTCGCGTTGCTGAGCTTGCTGGGAAGATTGGCGGTGGTTGGTAAATCTGTTTCTTTTCTTTCACTTATTTATGACATATACCCTGTGATGTTTGGATGACATGAGCTATGCGTGCATTTTCTTCATCGGGACAACAGTATTTGCATTTGGACAGCAAATTATATAGAGAGATACCATGTTTGCTGGTGGAATCGGTGGCAGCACGATAAGTCGTGGGAGATGTATATTGTGTCTTATACTAGATACAATACAAAAGGCAAGCAACTAGTCAAAGCCAGTACAAATCGCACTTCATAAAACACGTCAACGCCATCATATTTTTCTGAACGGAACAAAAACCGACCTAGCACATTAAATAACCTACTTAGTACTATATTCCGACAAATACCACAAACTGCACAACCCACACGCTTACTAATCACACCACTACAACCACCTTATCCACAAACATAACTCCAATCACAACCAGCCCAGCCTAACCCAATCTAGCAACAAACCTCCAACCGCAAAAAAGTTCCAGAACAAACCAAACCACCCAAACCTTCCATCACCATCTACACTACACCCTCCACTACCTCCCCAACCGCACACCGACCAAACACCTACCCTCTATTCACCTCACCACCTCGCAAACCCTCAAACAACCGCAATAAACCAAACCATACAACCCACCATGTCCCGCGAACAATACCAAGTCCCCAACCTGGGCGGCGGCGGCGCCCAGAACGCCTTCGGCGATGCTGCCGGTGGTGGCCCCATGGACGGCCCTGTCGTCGCGTACCTGTGCGGCGAGTGCAATTCGCGCGTTTCGCTGAAGAGGGGAGATCAGATTCGCTGCAAGGAGTGCGGTCATCGGGTTTTGTATAAGGAGAGGACGAAGAGGTTAGTTTTTCCTTCTTCTTTACCTTTCTCTCCCCTGGGGTGGTGATGGGGAGAGGATAGATGTGGAAATTAATTATTGGATAAATGTGTGTGTGTGTTCATATGCTAATTGGTTTACTTTTTGCGATGTGCAGGATGGTTCAGTTCGAGGCGCGGTGAATTCGGTTTCGATAGAATAAGTGGTTTGAGTTGAGTTGGGCTGGACTGGACTAGACAGATATGGTCTGGTTGGGCTTGTTTGGCTTCGTTTTTATGTATGATGGGGTGGGTGCATTTGGTGGCGCTTGGAGTTTGCTTTTGTTGTTATGTATTTCTTTGTGAAAGGTATTTGTCTTGGTGAGGGAGGGTTGGATGTTGGTGTGAGTGGGAGGTGGGGGGTAGATGGGCAAGTGGGATTATTGTCGAGTGAAGATAAGTGATGATGGGATTTTGTGCGGAAATACCCCTCGTCTTTGAATCAGGCAGTTAATTCAACTATGTTCATGGATCATTACTTGGGTTTTGAGTGTCTTGAACAGTATTCGTTTCGATGGTTACGGTATCATAAACTATTCACTACTACCCGAAAAATTATGGCCATACTGTTGTTTCGAAGAACAAGTTGGCCTATACTTTTTAGAGCCACAGAAAAACCCGAGAGTCAGAAGAGAATGAGTGGTTAGAGAAATGGAAGCCGTTGATATCATTAAAGCCGGTTCGTGACTTCAATGAAGTGCTCGAAGGACTTGAGAGCAGCGCCGCTCTCAACGGCCCAGCGAGCTCGGCGGACACCCTCCTTCCAGCGCCCGCCACCAGGGCCGCGCTCAGTGATGACCTGACCGTCATCGCCAGGTCCCATGTTGCTGGTGTCTGCATCACAGATACCCGACACCGTTAGGAGGGCAGCCACGTTCATGAGGACGAAGCTCAGGATAGGATCATCCCGGGGCAACTCATTCCGCAGAATGCTCATCAGCTTGGCTGCGTTGTCCTTGGGCATCTTCCTGCCGCCAACGTCAGACAGCGGGTGAGTCGGCAGGCCAAAATCGGACGGGTGCAATTGGAACATTTCCATCTTGACCAAGGTGCGGGGGTGTTCCTCCTCATCGCACGAGCACTCATCCTCCTGGGACCCTTGGTACGCGGGGTTAGGATATTCCGTTAGTTGCCAGCAGTTGGTCTTTCCTGCGCAGCTGATCTCGTCCAGATCCTCCTCACCACAAACAACAAGCGCCTTCTTGCATCCGTTCTGTCGCAATGCCTCCACAAACACCGGTCCCAAGCTCTGGTAGGCCACACCAACAACACGCGCCTCGATAGCCCAGTCGACTGGGTTGGCAAGGGGTCCCATCAAGTTGAAGATTGTCCGAAGTCCAAGCCCACGCCGCACAGGGTCGGCGTACATCATGCCGAAGTGGAAGTTGGGAGCAAACAGGAAGGAGTAGTTGGTCTCCGCATAGACCTGGGGAAGGTTATCGGCGTTAACTGCGCCGATCTTCGGGGGCACAGGAGTAATGGCGTTCAGGACGTCGGCGGATCCGGAGAAAGAGGTCTGGGCCCGGTTGCCATGTTTGGCGGTCATGAGGAGAGGGGAGGCAATGATCGAAGAGGTTGTGGAAATGTTGAAGGTAGAATGCATGTCTCCACCGGTACCAACGATATCGCACTAGAAGCAACGTAGACGTCAGCCGTATGATCCAAATGAGGTACAATATAACCAGCATCACTCACCAGACCACCCCTGTAGTTGCCCTCTTTCTTTCCCCGCGACTTGATAGCAGCCTTCAGAGTAGGCCGGTCGACCTGGCGAGCGGCCTCGCGCATGCGATGCGAGCACTTGGCAATGACTTCAGCATCGCGATCCAATCCCGTAGAATGCAAAAGCGTGAGCAGCGCTGCGGTCTGAATATGCGAAATCCCGTCTTCAAATATTAGGGCGAAAGCTGAGGCAATCTCCGAAGCTTCGACCCGGCGTTCCGTAGCGGGGTAGGCGAGTCTCTTGAGGAGGGGTGAAATGGAGACATGTTGCGGTTTCTGGTCATGAATTGAGGCGGACATTTTGCCTTTGGTTTGAATGTTAGCAGCTAGAACGGAACGGCGCGCACGCTCCTATATAAGCAATGAGTCACAACTCACTCACCGAGCTTTCAAGCTTACCTGCATGAAAAGGAAGGAAGGTTCGGAGTTTGGTCGGATGCCCGCTGACCGCAGAACAAAGAGTCATCTTTGCGTCTGGCAGAATCCCACCGCCTGTCAGCCCGACTAATCCGCTTTGGGTAGTCAAGATTTCGTGCCATATTTTCGTCCAGCCGGACATCCTCCAGCACGCTGCTCTTGTCGCCGGCATCGCCAATTTCACGGTCTTGGAGGTTTTCGTCCGGTCCCTACTTCCTCGCGGTACTATTCCACGCCCAATTGATCTTTCACCCCCCGAAACTCCTCTTCCCACCTCCACAATGCCGCCTCGCGTCCGCATCTCCAGCGGCCGCATCACTCAGTCGGTCCGCCGACAAAGGGTCGTTTACCAGCATGAACTCCCAATTGCTGCCAGATATGCCAGCACAGCAGCCACGGCCACGACCCCGGCCGCATCAATCGAGCAAATGACACACTCCCCCGCCCCCATCGCCCACTACCCTCCCACGCAGCCTCCCTCGCACCGCAACCCCGAATACCGCCGGTCCCAGCTCCTCCGGCAATACACCTCCATCATCCGCACCACGCCTCTCATGGTCTTCCTGCAGCACGACAACCTCCAATCGGTCGAGTGGGCCGCTATCCGCCGAGAGCTGAGCGCAGCCATGCAGAAGGTGGATGAGAAGATTGCCTCGGAGGGCCGGAAGGCCCCAGCACTGGCTCCGCACATCAAGGTCCAGATTGTCCAGACGCGCATTTTCGAAGTCGCCCTCCGCATCGTCGAATACTTCCGTCCCAAGCAGACCACCCCGGTCCCCAGAGCTGTTGACCCTGCCACGCAAACATCGGCCGAAATCCCTCTTGCCGCTTCCCGGGATGACCCTACCCTCTCCCATGACCTCTCCCGCGCCGCTCATGATGCCGTCCTGTCCATGAAGGGCAAGCATGAGCTGTCGGAGCTGCTGATTGGTCCTGTGGCCGTCCTCACCATCCCCCACGTCTCCCCCGAACACTTGAAGGCTGCGTTGCAGGTCCTGGCCCCTAAGTCGATCGGTCTTCCTCTGCCTACCCGGAAGGCTAACCCGGGCTGGCATGAGTTCCCTGTTCAGAACGGTCTGAACAAGTTGTCTTTGATTGCTGCTCGTATGGATGGACAGGTCTTCGATGTTGAGCAGTCCAAGTGGGTCACCAGTATCGAGGGCGGTATGGATGGCCTACGGTCACAGCTCGTTATGGCTCTGCAGAGCATGGGATCCAGTATCACGAATGCTTTGGAGGGCGCTGGAAAGAGCCTTTACTTTACGCTTGAGAGCAGAAAGCAGGATATGGAGCCGAAGGAGGAGAAGGCTTCCGAGGATGAGAACAAGGGTGATTCTGCTTGAACTGCCTAAGGCTGTTGAATTCTTCTGCCTGGCTTGCCATGTATAATAAAATGTCGCGTGTATTTTTCTTTTTCCCCCTTTTTCTTTCCTTTGTGGTTCCATTTTTACCCTTCAAGACCATGATTGTTTTAGCACATGAAGTTTCATTAGAACCGGAGTCATAGTTCTAGGTTACAAATACATACATACTCCTTTTGGCTGTGTCGTCCGCTTGGACACTGTGTATCGTGACCTACGTTGAATACGGCTATTATTATATAGATACCTAGTTCACGTATCCCTCTTGTTGAGTCGGTCCCCGAAACCCGGTGCGGTTCTTTTGACAATTCATGGAAGAGACTCGGAGCGGGATTGAAGCGCAACCGGCAGTCCTTCCTTTCATTCCCAAGCAATTCTCCTTAATTGTTGCCATTGCTCTGCTCGCTCTGCTCGCTCTGCTCCGCATGCATCAACTGCCTGTGCAGCAGCCGAGAATTCATACCCACAATGCATCGTACAAGATCCCAATCACCATCCAAGCCTACCCAGTCCGTAACAAGGACACCAGTGGACCAATCACCATCACCCTCTCCGTGCTTCCTGCACAGATACTCAACAGTCGCAGGGTTCAGCTTAGCAGCAATCTTCTCAGGCCACGTTCCGACCTTCCAGAAATTGCTGGCGCTCAGGAAGTTGATGTAGAACGGATGGGCTCGCGTAGCCAAGGGCCCTGGAAGCACCCCAAACGGGTACTGGGTCTTGCTTGCGCGTCCACACTGCTCGGTCACGTATTCGATCTTCTTATCGATGTTCGTGGTCTCCAGGACCTCGTAGAAATCTTGGATGCAAAGCTGTCCACTGGGGCAGGTGGCACTGGCGCAGTTATCGGCCCAGCCACTGGCGTTGATGCCCCATCCTTTGCCATCATGGATGTCTTTCAGGTGTTCGAGGATTTCGAACCGACGGACAAGAACAACCTTTCCACGTACTTCGCCTAGGGTGGGGATCTTTGGTTCCGTGTACCATCTGCTTCCTGGACGGGCGTAGTGGTCGTTCACGATTCTACTTAGCTGTTCGTCGGTGTGGTTTCCGGGGCCTTCACGTTTGAGAGAGATGATAAGAGTTTCAGAGGGATTTTGCTCCAGGAAGTCGTTCACTTCGTGCATCAAGTCCCGGAAGTATTTGTTGCCGGTTAATGAGATGGGGAAGACGCTGTGTACGAGGATAAGCTCCTCTTTAGACGTATCTTCCGGGTATTGAGGCTGCACACGGATATCAAAGAATCGCACCCCGTTCCTGAGCTGTTCCCTGGGACTGACCGCTTGGCAACGAACAGATGGTGCTGCAACATGGCAGGTTGGGGAGTTGTGCGTGCCTGGAATTGAAAGAGAGGAGAGCAAGGTGTCATCCTTCAATTCGCCCATCCAGGCATTCAGATTGGCCGAGGAAAAGATGGTGAGATGGGAAGCGGCGGTGATGTAGATCCCCGTGAGCTTGAACTTGGGGTTGTCACAGAGTGCCTTCATGGTGGCAGTTTCAGTGGTGGGCACTGGGGTCTGGATTTGATGCCGTTCTCCTTCCACCTCAAAGACCCAGCGCAAACGTTCCTTCTCGGACTCGATGAACGAGCGAAGCTCGGTCTGGACTGACTCGAAGGGCGCGACATGAATGTCAACATGTTTCTCTGCAAAAGGCTTCGTATCATCGTTCACAGCAGCAACTGGGGCGTTCGCACGGGTCGTATTGGTCAAGACCCGTGTGAAATTCCTCGCAAAAGTTTGGACCCCAAGCGATCTATCGGGGGCACGGAAGCGCTCAATGCGCTTCAGTGTGATGGGCGTGGAGGTGACATTGCGAATAGTGAGATGTTCGGCCACCATCTTCTTGGATCTTTTATTATTTACTCGCTCCGGTGTTGCGTTGTTCTGCGGGTCGTGTCTCCGTGGACGGCGTCGTGAACACGGCATTTAGGACAGATCTCCGACGGACGGGACCGA